TTTAGTAGAGTTCTTAGCTCTTACACCAAAAATGCAAACTGAAAAGAAAAAAATGGGCTTAAAAAATTAAAATTTTTGTCCTGCTAAGAGCATAATTAAGAGAATAAAAAGGCAAACCCCAAAAAGAGAAACTGTTTACAAGCCACATATCCAACAAACACTTTTATCCATAATATATAAAGAACTCTCAGAACTCAACAATGAGAAACAGACAACCCAACAAAAAGATAAAAAAATACTTAAACAGATACTTTACCAAAGAAATGACAAATAAAAACATAAAAAGGTTCTCAGCATCATCATTCATCAGAGAAATACAAATTAATACCAAAGTGAGACATCATTTGTTATATATTACAATGACTACATAAAATATGCTGACAATAACAAGTACTGATAAGAATACGGAGCAAATGGAATGCTTATACATTAAGTAGGCGTTAAAAACAATATAGGTACTTTGAGAATAGCCTAGAGATTTCTTACAAAATTAAGCACACAGTTACCAGATAGCCCCAACAATCCCATGTGTTATAATTTATCCTATAGGAATGAAAACTTATATTCACATGGAAATATGTATGTAACCATTGAAACCTATATCCATCCTGACTTCCATTGCAACCTCATTAGGAAGGAGTCTCTTCTCAAGAGAAACATTCCTGAGCCATCTGCTGAAGAAGTTAGCGAGACCCCCATATGAGGGTCCGAAAACAGGGAACTAGCCTGATTCTGAGTCCAGGAGAATGAGGTTTCTGAGACTGACGGTGCAGAGGAAGGTTTTGCCCTGTGTCCGGGCAATTCTTCTGAGGGCACCTGGGAAGCTTCTCCACCTGGTGACCAGTGGACAGGCTCTCCTAAGGAAGAACAGGAGGAAGCAAGCTGCAGCAGCTGGAAGGCAGATTAATCTGATGTTTAAAACACAGGTGACATTTCTTGCACCTTAGTAAACAGAGCAAATTCCTGCTGGCTTTGTACAGATTAGCTGGAAGCCCAGGAAATGATGAGATGGCCTGGTGTGAGCCAGGAGAAAAGAAGAGAGTCAGGGCTTGCTCCTGCAATACCATCACAGACATTGTGGAAGACTGAGAAAGCAGGCAAAGGAAAAGTTCTCTGTCATGGAGGTCGTGACAATGTCATTAAGGTGGAAGTACTCATTGGCTTGCTGCAGAGTTTCAGGAAGATGAAGACTCAAAAATGGCTGCCAAACCAAAAACATGGCTGCAGGTGTGGCAACAGGGGCACTCACCAGTGACATAGCACAGAAGGCAGATGGCGATGGATGAGGATAAGGGAGGTAAGCCTATGTGCCCCTCACATCTCCGAACTGTCTGACTCAGCAGTCAGAGGTCAGCAAAGCAAGGCATTAATTTCTCCTACAGGAGAATTTTGGAATAGGCAGCTGTCCAAGCCCAATAAATTACAAGACAGCCCAAGTTAAGCTCAACTCAGTGGTGTTCCATGACTTACAGAAACAACCAACTGGAATGTCCACCTGTTCTAGGTGGTAGTGTCACCTTGTTTTGGTTACTTTTCTGTCATTGCTGAGACAAAATACCCAACACCTAAAGTTAAAGAAGGAAAGGTTTATTTAGCTTACAGTTTGTGGAGGTTTCAGTCCATAATCAGCTGGGTCCAAGACATGGCCGAGGACAACAGTTCACAGTGGCAGAAAACAGTCCAAGCAAAAAGAATAAAAGGAAAAGATCACAGAAAGAAGACTCTGTTCCTTATATTGTATGTAGGCCACACCCTTGAGGTGTAGTGCTCACACCCATATCCTAGCATTGGACCATGAGTCACTCACAAACTCCAGAAGCCCCCACCCATGAGGCTTTGGGGGGACATCCAGACTCAAACCATGACACACCTCCTGGAACGTCAACCCATTGCTAAAAAACTAAATGGAAAGTTTATGCAAAGGAACGACAACTTTCCTAGGACCTGAAGATTTACCCACATTTCCTGCTTTTCTCTCATTTGTTTGGTGGAAGGATGTGGAAGCGAAGAAACTGGGCTTTTTGCTACAAATTCAATATTTACTCAGAGAGGTCACAGTATACCAGCTACTTTACTCTGTGCATTTATATGTATCATTCCATTTTCCAGCAACATTTGCAACTGATCAACCCATTTTACCTATGAAAAACCAGAAATCAGCTTGCCCAACATCACATAACTAAGTAAGTGGTAGAGATGGAATTTGTACTTTGATTCAAACTCCAGTGCCCTCTCTACTGCAATATCCTAACTGGGAAGAATTATTCAAAGCAGAGAAGTGAGGATCGTCTTCTGAAACTCAGCTCGGAAGGGAAGGCATCCTGTTGTGTCTGTATCCCAAATCCTGCTGGAAAGTGCTGAGTTGTAGAGGACCAAATACCGGGCTATGTCCCCAGCTATCTCAGAGATTTCCTCTAACAAAGCCTCCTTCCTGGGTGGACAAGGGCTGATTATCTCCAGGTCATGATTCTCCCTGTTCACTGGGCAAACCCACTGTAAGACCATTACAGTGCTTATTTTCTGGGCTGGGCAAGAGCTTTTCCAAACTTACAGGAAGCAGAGGAGGTAGGGAATGCACGGTATGTGTCTTTCAGAGCCACTCACCCACATCACAGAGACATGGAGGTGTCCTGGGCGACAGCTTGTCCTGGGCTCCAGGGAACAATCTTCTGGCGATGGCAGTTGGGGGAGGGGGCTCCTTCCCCTATGGACTCTGGTCTGAGGTTCCAGAAACTGCCTAGTCTAAGTCGCTGGTCATGTGGTATTCATTCTGAGGGGTGTGCCTAGTCTTCTGGGATGTTGCCCCAAGTCTTCCCTTTCTGGAAAAAATACAGCAAGATGGTGGGTGCTGTGAGGTTGAGGCCGGGAGGGCTCCATGTGACTTTGGCAAACAGCAATGTATAGAGTTTGGGAAAGCAGCTTTTTACAGTCACACAGCCTGGATTCAAGGTCCAGCACTGCCACTTGGCAGTTGAGTAGTTTTGAGAGGCTTATTTCACTTCTCTTGGCATTTAGTTCCTCACCTATAAAATCGGAACAATAACAATGCCTTCTACATGGGATTGTTGTGCTCACAGGAGATAATATACCTCAGCTGTTCAGCACAGCTTCTGCCAACATAGCAAGCGTTTAACAAATGCTTGCCATTATTATCAGTTCTGGGAACTCTCCACATCCATTTCCCCATATCCTCCCAACTGCATCCAGCAACACTAAACAATTACAGGGAAACAATGGCCATTGGGAATCTAATCAAACCCCAGAGGCAGCTGGTTCACCAGCTAAGGCTGTAAGGATCTCCTTCTCCAAAGAACCATCATCTACACTACGGCCAACACACTGGCCTGGCTCATCGCTCCTTCTCTGGGGAAATTCCATGGAAATTCAGCAGTTGCTGAGTTAGCAAAGCCACAGTTTGCCTGGTACCTTGAAATGCCTGGAATTGGGCACATAGGACAATTTCTCTGTACCCTCGCCCTCCCTGTTCCCCCTCCACACACAGCACGCCTCCCTGAAGACTATGGACCAGTTTGGGAAGCCCCATCAACCTCCTTCCATGAATTTCTTTGGCCTTCCTCAATGCCCTGGGCCAGTGGAATGTGTTTTCCTTTTTCTCTTTAGAGCCCGCTTTTTCTCTAGCCTATTTCTCTGCCTCCTAACCTGCCAATCGATTTATGTCAGTTTATCTAGAAGGTCAGGAAAAGGATCTGCTTTAAAAAGGAAAAGAACGGAAATGGCCTGAACCTTAACTCCGTACTCAAGGTCTGTCTGGCTGCTAGTGTTGGCCAGCTTCTTCTGGGGGGCAGAGACGGCTGGGTGTCCTTCTGTCCTCTCCTAAGGGAATCAGACTGCACTTCCCAGTCCTTCATCTAAGTGGTGTCACGTCATGCCTTTGCATCTATAAACTGTGCATCATTTCTGAGCCAGAGCATTTATGAAGTGGAGGTGTCTTCATGCTTTCTGTTTCTTTCTGGCTGGAAGTAACAACAAAGGAAATGCCTCGGTCACAATACAGGGAGACCGGAGGCTTTGAGAAACCTGTGCAGAAAAGCCTTCCACTGATAAAAACACTCTCACTGGATGTAATGAATGAGACGTATATTCTGATTGTGTTGAGCCGTGGAAATTATAGGAAATTGTAGAATCTACTAGAGTAGGATTATCCGACTGAGACTATAGCATCGTGACCTCCTTTGCCTTCTTCATAGCGTCTTGTAAATATGGAGGAAGAAATGAACAGGAGGAAGGATTTGCCCTGGCATGGATAGGAGAGACCACAGCAGACAATATTGAGGGGGCCAAAGCCAGACACGTAAGAGCCGACATGGAGAGCTCTGGGCTGGGGCAGAAGCATAGGTGTGTGTGGCGGTGGTGGTGCACGCTAGACACGCACTAGTGCAATTCTACTACTAAGTACACAGATTAAATGGCGCAGAGTGTAAAAGGTAGATCTGTCAGAAGAGGCTCAGGGATCACCAATCTGGTTCTCCTGGAAATAGGTGAGTAAGAACCAGGGCTTCCTTCTGAACCTGCTTCTTGCTGAGCTGGTGAGGAAGGCGTAAAGAAAGATGAAGAGAAATGACAAGCTTGGGAGTGCCCTTCCCTCTGTGCATTGCTTTGTGAAGGTTGACTTACTTTTAAGCTCATCCCAATCCTTGCCTCTTCTGCAAAGCCTTCCTTAAGGTGAGGAAGCCTTCTAGGTGAGGAAGGGGTTCTCTGTTTGCACCCCTAGCATGGCATCTTCACCCAACTACAGCTTCCATCACACTGGGTTATGATCAGGTCTTTGAAGACACAGCCAATGCCCTGTGTACCTTCTGGGCCTCCCTGACACACGTAGGAACTGATAATGTTAGTGCACAGATAAATGAATGAATGTGTGATTACACGAGCAGAATCCAAAGATGGGGAATCCAAACTAAGAACCCCAACTGAGATGTCTGGGTGAATAATCTCAGTTTTCTACCTAGGTCATCAGTAAAACATCCAACACGGAGCTCTTCATGTCATACACTTTTATTACTGAAGATCTGGGCTGAGGGACTGTGGTGGACACGAATGGTGCCCTCCTCCCCAGCCTTGGTAACATTGCCCAGTGTTGCCCTCCATACCTGACTTGGCCTGCTCTTCAGGGAGGGTCTTCTGTCTGAGGGGTTGCCTGCCCTAGCTGGGCTGGACCAGACTGATCTTTTTGCACCTGCTTCCAAGAATCACAGCATCAGTGGGAGGTGGAAGAGGGGCCTGGGGAGATATAGGTGCCCCAGAGAAAAGAGGGAGGCACAGGCCTTCAGCTGGCAAAGGGGCTGGGTGCACTGATGGCCTATAGGACTGGGACCAACTCAGGTCCTCCAGAATAGCTGTTTGGAGGGCCAACGTGTCCTCACGGTAGCTCTTGAAGGCAGGAACAGTTTGCAGCTCTGTGTGGGATTTGCCTGCAGGCCCAGTTGAAGATTTGCTTCCCTGAGTATCTCTGACTTGGAAAAGTCCACCTGGGACATTTCCAGGTCCTTCTCCTGGAGTACTTTGTAGGATGCTCCCATGAATCCCTGAGAGTTTCAGGGAGTGATTAATGCTAACTCTCAAGGACCCTGAAATTTTTGGAGATATTTTTAAATACATCTACAGTATTTATATTTCTTAAATATAAAAATAAAATGAAATAAAAATCTGCCCCAACAGCTTGTGACCAAACAAGTACAGTCACAGTCATCAGTGCAGACAGTCACAGCCTGGTCCAGGACATCCATGGCACCCATGGCACCCGCAGCGGGTCTGAGTGAGGACACAGATGCCAATGCAAACGCCTTTCCACGTAGGACAGTCCAAGCACCGGGAAGTGCACTCTGTGACAAATCCCATCTTCTGTCTCAGGACAGCAATGCTGTCCCCAAGCTCGCTCTGGCCTAGTGTCCAAGTCAGGGTCAGAGGAGCAGAAACTGTTGACGTCCCCCGCAGGCCCTTCTTTTGGCTCTGTCCTGGCTTCACCTCCTTATTCATCTATGGACGCCCCTGGAGGAACATCCACGGTGCCCAAGCTTTTATCTCCTGAAGATTTCCAGCCTGGGCTTCCAAGAAGAGCTGAGAGTTCTCTTGGTTTCTGAAGGATTTCAGAGAACAGTCTCTCTCTCTCTCTCTCTCTCTCTCTCTCTCTCTCTCTCTCTCTCTCTCACACACACACACACACATGTGCGTGCACACAGACACACAGAAGCAGCAGACAGTGGAGGTGGCAGTGATGAAGGTGCCCGGTGACCATTAGCCCAGATGTCGCAAATGGCCCAGGGCGTTCAGCCAGAGTCTTCACAGCAGTCCGTGCTGAGAGCGAGAGCCAGTTAGGATTTCTGGAAGCGCACCTCACTCTGAGAAACAAATAAGGAGAACGGGGGTGAGGGTGGGCTGGCTGGGCGGAAAACACAGGAGTCTGAGGTGGGGTTCAGGGACCAGCCTTCAGCCGAGCTGTCACCTGGCACTGACTGAGAAGAGGGGAGCGGAGGGAAGACCAAAGCACCCCGAGAGTCCCATCGTGCTGGGCCCCAGCGCAGCTGCCCTCCCAGCCCTCTCTGTTCTGATTGGGCTTAACATTCCCGGCCTCAAAGCCACAGTTCAGGGACCCAGTAAGACTGGAGCTGAGCTGTGTCAGTACAGTCAGGGAGAGATCCCCAAGTTCCTGCAGGGAAGGCGGCCTCTAGCACACTCTCATGGTCACTTTGGTGGCCTGTGTGAACTCACAGCTCTGTCCCTGGAAGAGAGTAGTGCTGGAGCTGGCACTGACCCTGAGTCCACCCGTTTACACCCCCTGGGCTCTGTTCTGAGGAAAGGAAATGGGCACAGGCTGGTCCCAGGCTTGCCAGAGGACCCTGTTTTGAGCACCCAAAACCAAAGCATTGATAGGACCTGTGCCTGCATCCTGGAAAGCCCGGGCTTCCTTCAGGCTCCCCCCCTTGGGAGTTCCCAGAGTGCCTGGTGCAGTGTTTCTGGGTAGGGGTCTCACCTCCATCTTGCTGTAGATCCAGGGAAGGACTTCTGACACTTTGGTGTACACGCCAGGTTTGTTTCTCTGGCCGCAGCCTGTGCCCCAGCTGGTGACGCCTGCCAGGTACCAGCGGTTCTTCTGCTCACAGACAAGAGGCCCCCCACTGTCGCCCTACAAGGCACAGGCGCTGTGTCAGTCTTGGGGAGCAGTGCTGATGAGGAAAGGATGGGGGCCTGACCACATGCCACCATTCCCAATATCCAGCTTCCCTTCGTCCCCAGGGTCCTGCAGCCTCACCTGGCAGGAGTCTCTGCCTCCTGCAAGGTCCCCAGCACACATCATCCTTGGAGTGAGGTAGTTATCATAGACTGAGTAGCTGTTACACTTATTGAAGTCGATGAGGTTGACCTGCACCTCCCGGAGGAAGGGTGATGTCTTCTCTTCAGTGACATGAGGGGAACAAGATGGGAAACCAGTGAGATTGCACAGCTCTGTGGCCTTCCGGCTGCAGACCTCAGTACTCAGTCTACTCGGTTTTTTGCAGGTGGAGGGCACCATGCCTGTGTCTGGACCTTGCCAAGACAGACATGTGGATACACACCCTCCTGTGAGACCTCGCTCACTGCACACACACACACACACACACACACACACACACACACACCCAGAACAGGAAAGCCTTTCTGATCCACTTACAGGTGGCGCCACCTAGGGCCAAAAAAGTGACTTGCAGACAGTCACAGATCAGAGGAAGGCTGCATCCAAGCCAGTCATGGCTGCATCACACCGAGCCAGGGGAAAGTGGCCCTGGCTTATGGGGCTTGCTTGAGTCTAACAGCCAGGCTGTTCAGGCCATGGAGTCCTCCCACAGGACATGAACAATCTTATGGAGCCGACATCAGATAAAGCACTCCACACCTGTGATGAAGTGAGGCAAGTCAAGACCACTTCATCCCATTTAAGGATGGATAAAAACAAGGTCACTGTGAAAATTTCAAAACTATCAAACATCTTTCCTATGACAATTGAGGCACTGATGATTCTCTTTGAGATCGTTCACCTTCCTAATTAGAGTGACCTCTGCTTCCCGACAGTATCTAATCTAGAGAAATCTCACCTCCCTGAGCCCCTCCCACCCATATCCTATGATAAGTCTTTCTAATGCCCTCTCATTAAGATGCTTCACTGTCTCCCCAACATATGTTTTCTCCCTCACTGCCATCAGCAGAGAACTCTGCTTGTTCAACTACAGGGGTTTCCCGATGGTCTTGCCTGGAGGCCACTATCACACTGACTGTGTTGACATCCGGGCAGGTGTCTGTATACACACATTCATACTCAGACCCATAATCTCTAGGCCCAAATTCTCAGCTAGGTACATAGAAAGCCTTCTACGATATACCCAGCCATGGCTTCTACAATACGCACATGTTTACACGCCCGTGCATACACACACAGCTTAGCATCTGCGCCCCTTACCATCTGTTTCCTTGGTCTTGCCAAAGCCCGTGATCCAGCAGGTCTCATTGAGGCTAAAGGTCTGTCCATGCATGGGGAGGCAGACAGGGTGGATGTGCGCTGCAACAAGACCTCAAGGCATTAGAGAAGGAATGAGGCTGGAGGTTTGGGGGGCCTAGGGTGGGGGGTTCCAATGTTCTAGGGTCCCTATTCTTGCTCCAAGTGCCTCTGAATCCCCCAGGACACTGGACTGATCGGACAAGAAATGTAGTCACTTTATCTGAACCCACCAGTTGTTGGGTGCTGCTAAATTTCTCAAAGCCACTCTGATTACAGTGGTCCTCACATAGGCAGGTGCATAGCCTTGGAAGCTTTCTTACACCAAAATGATACTGAGCAGCTGAGGGTCTCTCCCCACCTAGTCAGTGCCCTGGCCAGGCCTCTGCCATGCCTTTATCTCAGAGTAAGGCTCCTCTGCAAGCTTAGTCCGAGATGTTAGGGCCATCGCATCTCACAGAGTGCACAGCTGATCTGGGAAGTCACCTGCTGACCGGCCAGGGACCATCGTTCTCTTTCCAAATGTTCAGCTGGCATAGAGTGACAAAGCTCTCCAAGCAGGACTCCCAGATCACCAAGCCGTGCTTACTGGCTATGACACTCAGCCGTATTTCGAAGGTGCTGTTGACCAGCACTTCACAGGCACCTTCTGTAGCCTCGTGCCCCAAGATGGACCAGGGCACTGACCACTGTGATCCACTTGCAAGAGAAAAATATTACTAGATGGAATTTTCCAGTAGTCTCAGACATTTGTTAGGTTTATCTGCAGCATCCTAGAATAGCGCCTGACACATATTAAGTGCTCAATAAACATTTAAAGATCATCAGAGAGAAGGAAAGAAGGAAGGAAAAAAAGGAGGGGGGAAAGAAAATGAATATTAAACTATTTTCTCACCACTTGAGCGCTCAATGTTGTCTACCACATTTTGTCTGATAAAGAGTAAATACTCATAACACGAGTTATTAACAAAAGTGCAAAACATTCCTTTCTGTGCTTTTGAGACATAAAATCTTTAACATCTGTCACACTGTTTTACGTCCCGTTGTTATATATCCCCCTTGTTTTTATAGAAGAATTAAATTCATCAGTGAGCTGTCACAAGTTTTCTCAGAACTTATTGTGACTTCAAGGTGTGTAGCCTGCCACACAGATTAAGAAAAGGCTGCCTTGATTTGTAAACCAAAAATGAGGGCAAACATCTGACCACAGGCGGACACAAACCTGAGCCACAATTCTCAGACTAAGACTCCGCTTCCTGTTCAGAGCCTGGAGTGGGGCTGCCACAACCCAAAAAGCTAGGAGATATTATAGTAGCTTTCACTGGCCTTAGCAATTACTTAATTTGTTTTGGAATTCCAGTGACATTAAGAAGCGGGAGAGGACGAGAGGTAAGGTCCAAATGTTATTGTATTGTCTCCCTAGTGTAAGAAACTGAAAGAGTAAATTAGATCCAAAAGGTACAATAGATATTGTGCAGGGAAATATAGCTAAGATAATCACATTACTCATTCTATTGGTTCGTTGAAAGGAACAGTTAGTGCTCGTATTGTTTGATTAGTTTTGCATGACTGTATCTGGTAATCTGAGCAACTATTTTGAAACAATATGCAATATAATAACCATTGTTAATTTCCTATCATCTTGTTTTGAAATTCTGTATTGTTTTATTATTGGTTTTTTTTTCTCTTTAAAATAAAAATAAGAAAATAAAACTCTATTTGAAAAGAGACCAAAAAAAAAAAAAAAAAAAAAAAAGACCCAGGTGTTTAGCCAACTGCAATGGGGTTTTACAGGCTGAAGACTGGTGCTGCAGCCTGCTCCCTCGGTTATGTGTGTAAATGGTGGTGCAGAAGGCAGATGGCACCCTTTCCCTTAGCCCCAGGCTGCGGGGCAGGGCTGGACGGGCAGGAGGCACGGCTTGGGTGGGAGTGGCTTACTGTTAGGACCTCTGTTGAGTGCAGTTCTGGGCCAGGCATCCGGCTCAGCCAGGGTTCCTCCTCCTCTCTCCACGGTGATGGACTAGCTGCCATGACTCATGACATGCACCACCTCCAAGAGGAACGTGCCAGCACACAGCAGCTCCCAGGCTTAGAACGCAGGGGTGGCAGGACTAACCAGAGTCCTCCAAGGCTTTCTGATCCTCTGACGCACGCGACTTTGCTCATGCTAGAGGACCCTGACTTCATCCTTCAGGGTTCCTCCTGTCTCCCTTTCCTGTCCTCACTAGTCCTTTCAGAACCCATCTTAGCTGGCCTCTCTGGGGAGGCCTCCCCCACCCTGCCAAGACTGACTCAGGGCCCCATCTCTGCCTCCGTAACCCTCCCAGCTCCCAAGCATGGCACCACTGGTCTCTCCTGCTTGTCTAGATGTACACCAGTCATTTTGCTCTATTTGTCATTGCTTCCCCTGAGCTGGCATTTGATATGTGACTGAACGAATACAGCTTTCTTTGATACAGTGATCTGAGAACTTCCCCAGTATTTCCATGGAATAGCCCCATGGGGTCCTTTGTTCCAACTATGGGGCAGCTAGTTAACTGAATGTGTATTTGGCTCACGCTGTCCACTGAGGTGTGTGCAATTGGCCGGCCCTGAGCCAAGTAGGAAGAGCATCACTTGGAAATCAGTTTAACCTGGATCCCAATCTGGACCTGCCACCTATCACTTATGAGCTCATATAATTATCTCTGTCTAAAGCTCCACTTCCTCATATGCTCAATAAGGCTAATAATAGGACCTGCTCCACCAGGTTGGTTGTGAAGAGGATATCAATCATAGATGTCAACATCTACCAGTCTCTGGCCTCTGTTAAGTGCTCAGTTACTAGTAAGGGAAAAAGATCAATGTATTTATACTTATTAACAGCAGGAACAACAGCCAAAGCTGTGGCTCTGTCACCAGTTTGTAATATAAGTAGTGTCATTTGGGGCAAATTTATTTCTGATCCTTAGGACTCGGTAAATGGTTCTCAATGGTAAAATAAAAGTGTCTCAGTTAACAATCTCTAAGGGTCTTTGATTCCTGCTATGTTGATGTTCTGGGGCCCTGAGATGGGTCAACAGGGCACTGCCAAGTCCAAGGGCTGCTGATGGTACCAGGGAAGGGAGGGGCCCAGATTTGCTTACTGGATAGGGTCAAGGGCTTGGAGAGCCTCATGAGAGCAATGTCATAGTCATCCTGCTCATCGGTGTAGTTGCTGTTGATAATGATCTGGGCAATGGAGGCTGCCTCGGGCAGCTGGTGCAGGTTGTTGGTGCCTGCATATACCTTCCAGCCCTCCAGCATCTTCTCCCGGGTCCTGCAAGAGCCAATACAGCAAGGTCCAGTTACCATCCCGGCAGCGTCACCGGCAGCACCTGCAAGGCACAGGGAGTAGCAGCAGGCATACCAGCTTGGAGCAGGAGAATGGATGACATGGTCTGTGGGAGGGAGCCCTCTGTCTACTGGGGTCTGAAACAGTTCTCCATGCTCTCCCAAAACACTGCTCCGAGCTGACTGTTTTGCATGTCAGGGGGAGGGATGAATGAGACCTCTCTGTGTGGTGCTCAACCCCCACAATCTTATCTGCACACCCCCAAGGACCAAATACAGGGAGCAGGGCAGCTTGTAGTGGTAGGACCACCAGAATTCAGAGATTTGGACAGGACAAAGAGACCCGCTGAAGTCTCATTACTTGGGAAGCCAGTGTTCCTGACGCCTGAACTATGGGCTCCCAAAAGACAGGGCTGGCTGGGAGTGTCAAGAGCCAACTACACTGATCTCTTTCAGCCCCCGTCCCTCAAGTCCTGGACAGTATTCCTGGTTTCTTGGGCTCTTCTGCTGTAAGTACCTATTGGCAGAGGCAGCAACAAGATCAAAGTCTCTTCAGGAAGAGGATCTGAGGTCCCTCTGCCTGCCCGCCTCACTCTCCTTGGGAGCTGTGAGTGGCATTTTCTCATCCTTGGGGCCAGTTTAGAGCAAGTACCCCAAATGACCAAGTAATGACTCTGGAGTGATCACTCAAGCAGCACGAGTTACTTGATCTGTGGGAACTGAGCTCACACCAAAGTCCCCCTTCACTGAGAGATTTCTCTGCCCTTCCTGGGGAATCCCTGGTCCCCAGCAGCATTGACTCACAGGGCCCCGGGACACTCACACAAAGAAGCAGTGGGCAGCAGTGAGCACCCACTGGGGGTCGATGAGCGTGCCCCCGCAGATGTGGGTGGTGCCGTAGTGCAGACTCACTTGCCAGGGCCACTTGCTCCCTGAGGCCAGCACCCCTCCGACGATCCGCCCGGTCATGGCTCTCAGTCCACAGTCTGGGGAAGTAGAAGACACAAATCGTAAACCCTGCTTCTCCCAGACTCTTGATCATGCTCCCTGGGCCCAGCACAGGCTGGGCAGCCCTGTCCTGGGGCACCCACCAGAGGTGTCTTTGCTCAGTTAGTCTAAAACTGCACAGACGTTTCTGGCCCAAGAAGAAGTATCACGTGACAGGCTAACTTTATGACTTCATGCAGTAGCAGTTCAACCCCAGACAGGTTTCTCTTTCCTCCCATGCATTTATTTTTCATTAATTTGAAAGTGCTTACTATCTGCCCCATGCTTTGACACTGAGCCAGCAGGCATTAGAGTTCTGAGGGGATTCCTAGGGCCGTCATGAGGGACTCAGGAAAGCAGACAGACTCTAACATGACCCCGAATTGATAAGTATTGTGATGGGAGTGTCCATCATTTCAAAACAAGGGAGAAATAAACTCCTCACTGGTGGGTTTGTGCCCACATGGTGCCAAGATGGGCCATGGAGTGCTGCTGGGAATGCTTCCTCTCAATGGAGCGTCCACAAGGGTGTCTGGAGTGAGTCACCCTACAGTCATGGACAAGGAGGGGGTCTTCAGGTTTGTTCAGATGTGTTTGGGGGGGCACATGCATGTGCACAATTGCATTTTCTCTACAAGGGGGTAATCTGGCCAGCAGAGGGAGCACAGACCATGTGGCTCAATTCACAGCTTTGAGTTCAGCCCTGAAGGTGGACACCAGCTCCTTACCTACTAGTGGTCAGTCTGACCTCAGGCAAGGTAAACGTTTTGGTCTCTTTACAATAAGGGGACAGTCAAGGCACCTGCCTTGTGGGACTGGTGTAGGCATGAATGCAAGTATGTTTGCAAAGAGATGGGACTGTAAAGAGATGGGTGCATTGCCCACCCTGATCCCGTGTGCACAGTAACTGTTGGCGCCTAGTTTCCCATCTGCTGGTACCAAGCTCCCAGCTGGTCCCTGCCTGCTAACCTGTCCAACCTTTGGCCCCAGCACAGAGTCTAGCAGCCTTGCGTGGCACTGTTAGCATGAGAAGGACTGGCAAGGGAGCTCCCACCGGAGTCAGGGGAAGGGAAAATGGTATCCTGGGTGCCCCCAGGCCTTCTTACTGAGCTTAACTTCCTGTCTTGGACCCCCAGAATCAGCATCTCCTTCAGAAGGGCCCCAACCCCTGCGTGCTGAGCCCCTGACTCCCGCTTCACACAGACCACAGTCTAAGAAAGAAAATGAGCAGCTTACGGGAACACTGGAGAGAGACGTACCGCTGGGAAGGGCATTGAGACCTGCAGGAGAAGACACCGGACGTTGGAAAAGGACACTTTCTCCACCTCCTCCAAAAAGCCTTCCTGACTGGCTCCTGCTCTACCGTCCCATTGCCACCCATTTGCACCACTTCCTTCTCCAGAGCCTCGTTCCTTCTTTCCCTCTATGAGGAAAAGGTTTTAATTGATGGCTCAACCTCCAACCTAACCCTGTAGGGCTGCAGTGCAAAGACAAGAGAGGACAGGGAGCCGAAGAGGAGGACCAGGAAGGGCCCAGAAGGAGATCAGTGCTTCCCAGTTGGGTCCACCAGTCTTTGACCCACTGATCCCCAAGTTCCTTCTACCCCAAACCTCAAATATCACTTCTAAACCAGAGGGCAGCATGGTAAACCAGGACCATTTCTGAGGGGCCCCTGAGTATTTGTGATGCACTCTAGAACCTGGGTCCAGAAAGGCCAGGGAGATGGTCTCTGGCTCAGAGCCCCTCCCATTCGCCCTCTTTCCCTGCTCACATGCAGGACGCCTGGCCTGCCCCACAGTACCTGTAGAGGCTTTCCTGGATGGTGGAGTTGAATTCAGAGATTGAGAAGCTACTGGCAAAATCCCCATGTGCCACCTCAGTTGTCCGGTAAGCACTGCAAGAAGAAGGGGAAGAGGAATAAGCCTGATGGAGACAGCACCCCAAGTGCTAGCACTAAAGCCTCCCTGCTGTTGGACCCCTGAAGAGAGAGACCAGGTCATAATGATCTGTATCATGGCTGTGCTCCTGGGGAGCAGTCAAGACCTAGTACAGGCAATGAGTCTGATCTCACCCAAGTATTCGACCCCTGTTCCCCAGGGCTTTATGCACTAGCCCGGTTTTTCTCATGGTGTCTCATGGTGCCTGGACTGGCAACATGGATATCACCTGAGCAGTTGTTAGAAATGTGCATTCTTAAGCCCTACCCCAGACCTGCAGAGCTAGAAGCTCTGGGGCTGTATCTAGCAGCCTGTGTTGCTCTCCAGGTAATTCCAATGCATGCTTAAGTTTAAAACACTGGCCTAGTCCTTTTCCAGCAAGCTGTCACCTGCAGACCAGAGATGGAACCTCTCTATATGGAACCGTATAAATTTCTAAAGACATCAGTATCACCCGAGACCTACCGAAGCTGAATCTGAATCTACACGGTAAAGTCTGAGAACCTTTGCCCAGCCCTGTGACTCTCAGAGCAGAGTGTGTATGCCTACTGTTTGCTCAGTAGATTTTAAGTCCCAAGCCCTAACTCAGATTCTGGGGTGCATTTTCACAAGCACCACGGGTAATTCTTCATGTTTCACTCTCCATGTGGAATCATATAAATTTCTAGAATGTGGTATGCCCTTGCGTGAAGCCGGGTCTTTGCACATGCTCTTCCTGTACCCAGAGGGCCCATTCCTCTGCTTTCTGCTCTTTTTTCCAGGTGTAGTTGGGCTCCCTCTCCACCATGTGCCCACAGTGCTTCATACTTATTCTTTGCATGAGATTGTTGGATCAAGGCCCCCTCCCCAAACCACAGTAGAGGGCCTTCTGATACAACACAGGTCCTTCATATAAGTTTAATGAATGTGCTTCAGATAAATGACAAAGAACCAAATGCTCAAGTGGTTCACACTTCCATGATGTCACACAAATTACACAAAAAAATTTACACAAATTACAAAAAAAGATGCCCATCTTCTTCTGTCTGGATCATTCAGATTCCCTGTTACAGGTCAGAACTCTGAGGCTGAGGAGGGGGCAGAGACCTAGCTCTGAATCCTAACACCCCAACTCTGGTGCTTTTTCTATAGGGTACCCACAGAGAGACCCTAAACTCTTCTCTCCGAAACTCACATGTATTGGTGAAACCCCAGGCCACTCAGCTTGAAAACTCAGACCAAGAGGGAGGACAGAGATGCCTACGTGGCCTGCAAGTTGGAGGCTCCTTCACTTAGGCGAGTCATTCCTCCCCCTGCTCCCTGCTCCGGCACTGGCTGCTTGGTTTAAACCCCTTACAGCCAAAGCTTCTTAAGACATGGCCACGCCACACTTGCCCCACCTCATTTCCCTTGATAAGTTCTAACCCAAGCCACACCTGCTGCGGCTCAACAGCCACAGGAAAGCTTTGCATAGCTTGAGTTTTTAGCTCCCAGATGTCAGAAGGCAGATCCTGCCCAGACGCCACCATCCTCTCCAGGTTGCTCCTGTAACCACTCAGTGTGGTAACAGACCCAACAATGCCTTGATGCATGGAACAGTGGACGAGGCTGATATCATTACAGCTGTGTAATAATTATCTGGGCCTCAGGAAAACAGCTTGCCCCACACTTAAAGGATCCCAGGGCGTCCCAAGCTGGTAAGATCAGCCCTGGCTCCAAGGGCTTTTGCACCACTAGGAGGTGTCACCAATATGCCTGTGGTAGCCCCACGAAGTGTCTATGGCACACCAAAGCCAGGGCCCTGGGGAGGCTTACCTCTCAAACCCCAGCTGCTGGCAGGTCTTCTGGGAGTCAGAGTCATTCCAGCTGCTGCTGCAGATGGGCAGCCACTCACGGGAAGTCCCAGAGTAAACTTTCAGCAGAGATGTGTCCCAGTCAAACCTCACTGGAGGGCAGAAAAGACAAGGCATGTCCTCAGCACCCAGAAACCTTCAAGCTCTCGGGGTGGGGGATGAGCTGAGGAAGTGTCTGTCCCAGGACTCATCACTGAGGCCTAGGGCAGATCCAGGAGGTTGGCCAGAGTAGCAGTGGGCAGGAGCCTAAAGGGCGGAGTCAAGGCAAGGGGCTAGGGGCAAGGTGAGAGCTCTCCATCCAGCTCTCCCTGGGAGAAGGGCCAGGGCAGTCAGGGACTGTCATGAGAGGGCCACTCCGGAAGGACACAATGACAAGGGGAAACAGACAGTGAGCACTCACAGCACAAGGTCAGTCACAAATGGATGAAGTTGTGGACAAAAGTACACGCAAATGCAGACGTGAAATGATGGGACGTGCACGCGCACACCACTCACAGCAGGGATGCACACGGGCCGAGCATACCCCACAGCTAATTGCGCATGCGCCAGTCACCAAGGCAGGCGCTCAGATGGATCTTAGCGCTTCGCTAGGACCTTAAATCAGCGGTAGCCTGGCAGACAAAGAGGAGGGGCACCCGGATGGGGTTCCAGTCAGTTTATCTGCTTTGCTCAGTCTGCTACTTGAGAGTTGTCAGTTTGTGAGCCACTAATCTCATCCAATCCTCTCGTTTTACAAAACAGGACATTGAAGCCCAGGGAGAGGCAGATGATGCAAGTGGCTTATTCAGTGACACAGCTCTCAAAGCCAGGTTGCAATCCCATGTCTACTGCAGCTAGAATCCAGACCTTCTGATTCTCTGTCCATTGCTTCCTGTTTGAGCTGATATGCAGTTGTACTGCAGTTTGTAGTCACCAGAGTTAACACACACACACACACGCACACACACACACACACACACACACACACACACACACACACTCCCCCATAGCTGGCCTCCTTACCACAGCCGAGCTCGTCACTCCGGAGCTTGCAGTCTGTCACCCCATCGCAGCGAACGGCATGGATGGGGCAGCTCTCAACTGCCTCTTTATACTTGATCCCTGTATGGCCTTGCCAGAAGTAGACTGGGAAGAAAAGAAAAAGAAGCAGGCAGCCAGGTCACCGCTAGTCCCAGGACGAGACACTAAGCAGCCCAAGGCCCTGGGGGTTCTGAGACACCGACCTGCAATCCCTCTTGGACTCTGGGGCTCTCGTCCCCCATCTGTATGGAGAGAAAGGCTGCTCAGGAATATTCCAGAATGCTCCAGAAAGCTCCAGTAAGCAGGGGAGCCCCGGGCAGACTTAAACAGCCAGCCAAAGAGAGACAGAAAGACAGAGACAGAGAGAGATAGAGACACACAGCAACTGTGGAAGCTCCCCTACCCCTGTTGACCTTCTGAGCACCACTTCCTCCAGGTTCCTTGAGTCCCCTCTCAGAACCCTTCGGGCATTTTTTCTCTCTGTGCTCCGCAGGGTCACAGCAGAAAATTTTTTATCTCACAGTCACAGGCACACAGCCAAAACCTGTCCTGTCTTCCCAAGGACTAGTGACCCTACAGCCTCAGGAGCCCCCAGATTTCCTTCCTTCTCCTCTCCTTAAACAAGGGGTATCCCTGTGCTCAGTTCTTACTTCACACTGGTCTTTACGCCTTTAAATGTATTCTCACTCAACAAAAACTAATCGGAGTTGGCCAATTTCTAAGTGTACCAGAAAATAACTTTAGAAACCTATATAAAAATCAGCCTCATAACTTACTTTGTCTTTAATACCAATCCCTCCCTAGTCAGGAAGTGTTGCTCCTGCTGCCTGGAGAGATCTCCCTTTGGATGCCCTCAGAGATCTGATTCAAACTTCTCACCCAGCCTCTTGGGGTCAGCTGACTCCTCAGCTCTGACCCTCCTCGTTCCCTGCCCCATCCATGCTCTTGGTCACCTGAGTGAAGGGTCTCCTGGTATGACTGCTCCTTCTGGGTCCAGACACAAATCTCTCCTAGTCTCTTGGTCTACCTCTCCCCACACCCTCTGGACACTGAGCTTCTGGGGAAGTCCTGGGCAGTGTGTCCCCTCTCAAAGCTTCACACAGAGGGGCCACCTTGAGTGCATACAGTGCACTGGAGTTGGAACCAGGAGGCCAGGTTTTAGCCCTCACCCCTAAACACAGCTACTCATGGACCTGCAGGATCCTACCACTTCTCAGCCTCCCTACAGGAGCCATTAGGGACTTCAGAAAATGCTGCGGGACCAGGCAGGAGCTTTAATTCCACAAAGTGTCCACCCTGTTCTCAGGTGCCACATGCCCCTGTATGTGTCATTTCCCAATGCTCTCATGGAGCAGGGGACAGGGAAGGACCAGGGCAGTAAGGAGCATGTGGCTGACACCCTAGGGAAGTCTTTATGTGCATCATGACAGTGACTCTACTGCCTCGTCAGCAGTTGGGGAAACTGAGGCTTGGAATGGTAATTACTTTGCCAAAGTCACGCAGGAGGTCAGGAGCAGAGGCAAGATGAGAGGCAGGAATGTGTGGTACCAAGGCCGTGCTCTCTCAGCGCCCCGGCTCATCCCACACATCCCTCTGCCTCCCACGGCTGCCACCTCCTGGTTTTTCCAGGTACTCGTCCACCCCACCTTAGTCACGCCAGGCTCATACTTCTGTGGGATCCTTACTCCTTCGCCTGGCATTTAAAACTTTCTGCCTCATGGCCTGGCCTTACTGAGTCAAACAAGTGGCTCCCCACACCTCCCAATGTTTACTTTGCCTCTAACGATAAAAGTCTTTTCTTTCCCCCAATGTGAGCTTTGCCCACGTGGGCCCTCACAACTCTAGAAGCTGTGCAGATGCCCAGTCTAGGTCATGACTGCCTTGCCACCGTCCAGATCCATGTCTGGCCCCTGCATGCTGGCCCATATAGCTGTCACCTATTCCTGCAGTCACACTCACAGGAATTTGACCTGAGTGATTTCCACTTTTGTACCCCAGGACACTGGGATTTTGGAGGACAGGACAGTATGATGTATGCTCACTTTTCCTCTATCCTAATGTCCCCACTATGCTGGGCTGCCAGTCTCCAGAGTGGGGGACACTGAGGAGGTCTGAACCCCTGAACACTGAGCCTCATATCCTATTGACCAAACATCCTCAAAAGACTTTTTCCAATCCATGTTTCTTGGTTTGTTTGTTCAAATGACAAGCATCTGGGGGGTAAAATTTTGTGCCAGCCATTGTGCCATCCTGTCATTCAGTCCTCACACCCCAGCAAGGTTGACATGACATGGGATGTGGCACATGGTGAGATGGATGGGTAGATGGATGGATAGATGGATGGGTGGGTGGATGGGTGGATGGATGGATAGATGGATAGATGAATGGGTGAGTGGATGGATAGATGGAAAGATGGATGGGTGGGTGGATGGGTGGATGGGTGGATGGATGAATGGATGGATGGATGGATGGATGGATGGATGGATGGATGGATAGATGGATAGATGGCTGGCTGGCTGGCTGGCTGGATGGATGGATGGATAGATGGATAGATGGATGGATGGATGGATGGATGGATGATAGATGGATGGATAGATGAATGGATGGATAGATGGATAGATGGATGAATGGGTGAATGGATGGATGGATGGATGGATGGATGGGTGGATTTCAACCCATCTGTAGATGCAGAGACTAAGCTTAGTGTGGCTAACTCACTTGCCCACATTAAGTTGCTCAGCAGGCACTACAGAGGGACCCATGCTCAGGTTCCTGTGGTATCCCACACTCTTGACTCTGCTACCTCGAAGAGGCCTGGCCCCATTATGGTCCGTGGCTATTTGGGGGAGTGTCTCTATGTGAACATGATCGTCAAATGAGTGTGGAGTCCCCTGTCCCTGCAGCAGGGCCCCATGCCCAGGCCCCTTTCCACCCAGAAATGACCAGAACCCATCCCTATTCCCTTCATTTAACTCACAAAGAACGATGAGCGAGATCACAAGGGCGATGAGGAGGAGGACGCACCCAATGAGAGGCAGCTGCTTCTTACACTCTTGCCAGGAGATCTTGGGCAAGCCGAAACCTGGGAGCAGGACAGCAGGGGAGAGAGACTGTTGGAGAGGAGTCCAGTGTGGTGAAGGACGGAGAAGAAACAAGGCTGGCCCAGAAGGGTTCCTTTAGGACTGCTGTGGCCCAAAATATGGCTCTGCCTTTGCCTGATACCAGCCCTTCGATGGCGCCCCTCCTCTGGGCCAGCCAGAACACTGAGTGTGTTCTTCTACTTCATCCTTGCAGCATCCTTGAGAGCTGAGTCTTGTTAGGCCCATTTACAGGTGGAGAAAGTGAGGTTCGTGGAAATGAGACAACTTGCTCAAGGCTGGCGAGTGGCAGAGCAAGGATTCAAATGCAGTGTGTCTGATCCCTGTCAACGTGCCTGACCCATCCTTGAGAAAGCAAGCCGGGGATGGATACCAAACCCTGAGGTCAGGTACGCACGGGGCCTGTGTGTTTTGCGGTGGGGTCCAGTGCCCAGAAGGTGTGGAAAGAGTGTCCCTATGGGCAGAGTGCTGAGGCTACTGGTTTTCCTGACTTCCTAGTGGCTGAAGCAGGCAACCCAGAGACTGAAAGTTTGGGGTGAAGCTGCCTGCTTGGTCTGAATCACTCTCTTTCCTCCGCGCACCGTTTCACTGGTCCTGGTTTCTTCCTCCTGTTCCTTCTTTACTTCTAATTTTCTACCATCTTGGGTTTTTCTTGCAATAGATTCTTTCTCCCTCACCCTCCACTAAGTCCCTCAAGGCCCACCCAGCCATTGTCCCAAGGGCACCAGCAGCAGAGTGCCCGCTGAGATCTCCCCTTGCCCACGAACTGCTGCCCTGTTTCTCCCACCTCTCCCTCCAGAGCCCCCTTACCTAGGCTCTGCCTGTTGGTGCTGGTGGCTGCTGCTGACCTGGCAGGAGATGCTCGGATGGGGATAACAACTGGTTTTGCTCTAACAAGATATGCTTTTGTTGGGGAGGATGTCATGGAGGCTGACTTGGCAGAGGAAGACTTGTTAGATGACGACCTGGAAGGGGATTTCCGGGTAGAGGGAGCCTGCGCTGGAGATGTCCTTGGGGGTGAGGCCTGGGCTGGGGGTGTCCTTGCCGGTGAGGCCTGGGCTGGAGTTGTCCATGCAGGGGAAGCATTCTGTAAACAGAATGAGAAGCATCCCTCAGCTCTTCCTGCAGGCCACCTGCTGGGGCTCTGCTAAGCTTTAGAATAAATGCTCTGGGGCAGGTGACTGTGGGTGCAGACAAGGACATATATAAGAAGAGCATAATCAAGAACAGAATGAAAGCTCACATAGCCTACTTGCCCACACCCCACAAAGTGTCCCCTTCACAGGACCTGCAGTGGAGGGCGGAGGGCAGCAGTGGTTTGCCCAGACCTTGGGAGCAGATGCTAGGGGAAGAATCAAAAGAAAGAGCTGCTGGTCTGCACGTCGGCTCTGAAAACTCGTATCCAGGAAAGAGGGTCCCTCAAGGGGGAAGAATGCCCTCCATCATTCCACAACCCTTTCCTTCACGGATGTTCATTGAGTATAAGTACGACTCTTACCCTGAGCTTTTGCATGTGTGAGAAGTTCTGCATAAGAAGAGCCGTGGGCTGCCTTGGATTCTCCTTTCTCAGTAGCATAGAATCCCCCCCCCCATGCACACATTCATGCACACACGTGTGCACGTTCACCCCCAGTCTATCAAGGAACCTGGACCGACAAGCTGCAGGGAGAGGAGAAGGTGTGTGGGCTGGGGTGTGGCTCTACCACACACGGATATGATCCTTAACCTTGCCTATCTGTGGGTGGAATGATTTATTAATACACATTCGTGGTGTTAATTTATGTGCAAAGACCTCATAGTGACCTCTAAGTACCTTGTCTATAGTTATTCATTTCATCCTTTGATGCACACTCCTGTTTATAGCGGCACAGTTTGCAATAGCTAAATCTGGGAAAGAGCCCAGATGCTGTGAACCGATGAGTGGATGAAGATGTGGGTTTTCCTTTCTTTTATACGCTGGAGTGTTACTCTGCCATAAAGAAGGGTAAGCTTGAGACATTTCTAGTTAAATGTGTTATAACTTGTAATTTCCCACAGATCACTCCACACCGTGTTCCTGTTCTGTATGCGTCACCCACCCCTCTCCCTTTTTCTGTTCCTTCTCAGCTGGGCTCACACAGATAAGTTAACCACCAGCCTTGTACCTCCCCATACCTTTTATCATAGAAACATCCTGCACCTAGCCCTCAGCCCCACACAGCCCAACACCCCATTTTCTGTGTTCACTGTTCGCCAGATGTCCCTTGTAAAACTCCCCGGACTCTCACCCTGTCTTGCGAACCTCCACCCTGTTTTGTGGTTTTTGCCAATAAAAGCTGTGCCCCCCACTATGTCTGCACGCAGAGGTTGTCAGTCTCCACTGCTCCCTGCATCGCTGGCTGCCAGCTAAATAAAGTGCTTCTTTTTCTTCAAAAACATCTTGCCTTGTTCTGAGCAACATTTGGGGATCCCATTTCTGGGCTAGAACATTTGGGGGCTCTCCGGGATTACATGGGCACCCCTCCCCACATAATTTTTCACCGATTGATTGGCTTGAACCATCTGTAAGTATTTGGGTCTTTTGTTCTTTGTAATTTGAGTGCGCATGTTTGAAGTTGCAGGTGAGCCTGGCTTGCTCCCTCTGCACTGGAGTGGCACACCCCCCGGGAAAGGGCTTCTAGCTCATTTGGCATTTGGGATTTTTGTCCATTTGGTTTTGTGCTTGGTATATTTTTACTGTGGAGCCATTTGTTTGTTTGAATCTGTTACCTCAGTACTAACATTCAGATTTCTTTTATTTCTCTTAAATTACTGTTGCAGGTTCCATGTGGGCTTATTGGACTTAAGGGTCATAATAAAAATTCATTTCCCTTTAGGTTGACAAACCACAGACAGAAAAACTGTTGTTTGTGTCTTTAATGTTGGTCTTGTCTTTTGTGGTGCCTTGTTTAATGTTTTAGACCTCAACTGATTACTTACAACTTCAACATGCCTTTTAAAAGTTTTTTTTCTTTCTGGTTAAAATGTAAATGTAAATATGTATATATATATATATATACATATATATATACATATAATACATATATAATACATATAAATATATATTTATAATACATATAAATAAATATATATATATATTTACACATGTATATGTGTGTATGGTTGTTTTAAATCATATTAACTTTACCAAGTGAAACCAGGTCATACTGTTATTGAGCCATTTTAAAAAGTTACAGTTTTGGGGCTGGGGATTTAGCTCAGCGGCATAAGCGCCTCCCTTGCAAGTGTGTGGTCATGAGTTCGATCCCTGGTATGGATGAAAAAGAAAAAGACAAAAAAAAAAAGTTACAGTTTTAAAGTGTAGCATTTTAAGGTGGTAAAAAGACATAAAATGATTCAATATATTTTAGATTACTAAAAGAAAGTCATTTTGTTAAAAGTTTTAATGTTGTCTAAAAAGCTAGAAAAAAGGTAATTGACTGGTAATAAGTAAAAAACAGAGAAAAACAAGTGTTCAGAAATTGACAGAATTGGGGCTGAGGATTTAGCTCAGCAGCATAAGCACCTGCCTTGCAAGCAGGCGGTCATGAGTTTGATCCCCGGTACCGATTAAAAAAAAATTGACAGAATTAGATCAGTAAACTTGTACTGTAAAATGTTTCCATTAAAATAAGATTATATTCTAAAAAGGGGGAGGATCTGTCTTCTACACTTATCACCCTACTTGGGACGACTGCCAGAAGATTTTGCAGGTTTTGTTTACAGTAGAAGAAGAAAAAAATTTGCACCATGGGATAAAAAGCAGTGTGTGTTCCAGATGAAAACCCGTACTCTGATCCCAAATGCCAGATGTGTGTTTTCCCTTTGTCCCGCCCCATTGGAAAGCCAGAGGTAAGAAGGCTCTCTATCCGGTATTGCCAGTTGTTTGCCGCCAGAAAACCCACCAGTTTGTCCAGGGTAGCAGAGGTGAGTCATTTGGAAGATGAGTCCCCCTCGGGGTTTCTGAAAGGATACCTAGAGGCTTATTACATTTATACACCCATAGATCTGGTAACACCTAAAAAGTAAGGGCCATTAATATTGCCTTTGTAACTGTCGGCCCCTGATATTAAGCAAAAATTGCAAAGGCTTGAGGGATTTAAGGTTAGTTATTAGAGATTGCTTAAAGATATTTGACAACCAGGAGGACCCTAAAGACCAGAAGCAGACAAAGGTGCTGGGAATGCTAGCAGACAAAGTCACCAGCACGATGCAAAGTCTCATCCATCCCTAGATAAAAATCAACGTGCTTATTGCAAAGAGAAGGCGCATTGATGAAGAGACTGTCCCATGCTCTTCCATGGGCTTTAGATCTTTCCAAGGGGCTTGATAATGTGGCAGCTGGATGGCCCCCTTGTCTGAGGATGATTTCCTCGGTGGCCCTCCTAGTAAAGGAGGCTCAGAAATTGACTTTTGGATGAAAACTCTAATTGTCTCCTCTCATTCACCAGAGACTCTCATCAAGGCTCCGCCCGACCCAAGGCTGCCCAACTCCCAAAAGTCATGCACTATCAGGCATTCTGGATCTGACTACCATCAGTTTCAAGGGGACAGCGGCTTTGAACCCAGCTACTCTGCTGCCTGATGATGACCCTTCCTTGCCCCTCTGATCATCTCACGGGGCTTTGACCAGACTTGACAGATGAGCCATTATTCAGAGTTCCATTGTATTTCTTCAATGGAAGCAGTTACATCTATCAAGGTAAGCAGGTCGAGGAGCCACGGTCACTACAGACTCTCAGATTCTATGGGAACAAACCTTGGAGCCAAGAACATCAGCCCAATGGGCTGAACTCATTGCCCTCACTGAAGCCCTCAAGTTGTCAGACTGATAGCAGATATGCATTTGCTACTGCCCATATTCATGGGGCCATTTGTCAAGAATGCTGTTTATTGACTTCTGGGGGCCAAAAGGTAAAAAATGCTCCCCAAATTTTAGATTTATTAGCTGCCATTTGGATGCCAAAGAAGGTGCCTATTAAACAATCTAGCAGACACCACTGCCTGATAAGTGACCATAAAATAAGTGGGGATTGAGACAGCCCTGGCATTGCTGCTGATTCCACCTACTCTGTCAGAGCCCTTTTCTCAAAAAGACTTGCATTTTGCAGCCCAACTCCAAGCAAAGCCTGATATCCCCAGGGACTGGTACCTGCCTGATAAGCAAGGCCTCCTCCCCAAGGCCTTGGGATGAGAACTCATCCAACAAACTCAGCAGTCCACTCACATAGGAGGATCAAAACTCGCTGCCCTTCTTTTCAAGATCGTTCTTTATCCCTCAGTTATCAAAGCTTACTCAGTCTGTGAGCCTTAGATGCTAGGAGGTGCTAGGAGGTATACCCAAAACAACTGTAACAAATGGGAAAACCTGGACTTCAAGGGAATAAGTACTTATTAATAATGGTAGATACTTTCACTGGATGGGTCGAAGCTTTTCGTGCTGTTTGAGTTAGCCCTGATAGCAGTTTCTCTGATTTGGCCTCCCTTTATCCATGGGGTCCAACAATGCCTCGGCTTTTATAGCCCAGATAACTCAAAAACTAACCCAAGCCTGGCAGAGTGATTGGAAACTCCATTGTGCTTACCGGCCTCAAAGATCAAGACAAGTAGAAAGGATAAACCAGACTTTAAAAATGGTAATAACTAGGATGGCATTGGAAACTGGCAAGAACTGGGTGAGTCTCCTTCCTTTTGCCTTCTTGCATGTGCGATGTACCCCTATGTTGCAGGTGTTTCCCCTTTTTAAAGCTCTATATGGGAGACCTCCTCCTCTTATTTCTAAGATTTCTGAGGAAAAATTAACTGATCTGGCTAATCAAGATCTTGTTAAGTCCCTCCAGGCCCTTCAGCTAGCTCTGACTTCCATCCACCCGTTATTCTAAGAACTACCTCTGCCTGTAGCCCATCCTGAGGATGAACGTTCCACAGTGAACCGGGAACGCTAGTCCTCATTAAGAGACATCTCCAGGAGTCTGTCAAACCATGGTGGGAAGGCCCCTACACCGTGGTCCTCAGCACTCCCACCGCTGTCAAAGTTGCTGGAAAGCCTGCCTGGTCTCATCATTCCCA